TACATAAACAGGAAATTTAGCTGAAGCATTGCGATTTTTAGTAAGTCATGATAGCCTTGTATGTAGGTACATATGTAAATAAGTATGAATTTTGCGGCCTTACAAATACCTAAAAATTCAAAAACACATTAAGAAAAAATATTTACATAGAATGCTAACTGAAACGATTAGCAGCTCATTGGATTTTCCTACGCTACGTCTTCAATTCAAACAAATTTTTAAGAAGCATTAAATTACTTGGCTAAATTTTACCAGCTAAAAACAATACTTTACGAAACCAATAAGTTCCAATAATTAAAATTCAATTAAATGCTTGTTTTCATTTTATTGCAGCTCTTGTGGTTTAATATTGCGCATTTGTTTTCGTTTTTTTTTTTCATTTCCACTTCGGTGGCTTGCATGTACTTAGTATGTATGTATGTATGTATGCATTAATGCGGGTTTATTTACTTTTTTTAGCGGTCTACCATAAACTATTGCCGCTTGGCTTTTATCTTTTTTCCCAAGAATTGTTTTTAGAACATTTCCTACTCATTTCAATATTTACTTTGAAATATTTGTATAAATTTAGTTATGCATTCTTGTTTATTTTTTATTTCTTTGAAGATTTTATTTAGAAAAGTCAAAAATTGTGTTGAAATTTTTTCATATCCTCTGAAGGAAAAAAAAAACAGCTGCAGCGTTCGTCCGAAAGCTACCGATTTTTTAATGAATGTTGGAAATTGGTCTTAAATACTTGAGCTACATACATGCCATGGCAGTGACATTTAGGGCAGGGTGGTAAAATTTATTTTTTTGGCGAAAGGATAGAATATTCAGCACTGGGCGCCCACACTCCCGGGCTCACTCTGAAGCACAACAAACTTACACTATGCCTGCAGGTCTACAGAGCAGTTGAGTGTCTTATCAAAATCTGTTCACAATTTTCTAAGAATTTCGTTTTTAAGAATATTTCTAACTTCACAGACATAAAAGATTATCTGCTATTTTCATTTTCATTAGATTTTTCCAATCGTTATTCTCAGACTGAATTGCAAACTTCTGGCTCAGATAGTAAAAAGTCTTTCATAAGGCAAATAAAATACGGATTGCAAGATAGTTCGAATTTTTTTTTTATTCTAGCACAAAAGTCGTAGAAAAAGCTCTCTAATTCAACAATCGTGGTAAAAATCTATTTCGAGAGGAAGCACTTGTAGATCATTTAGCTCGCTTCGCTCCAACAATCGCAATAGTCGACGGAACAAAGCACAGGCGTGTCAGGCAGTGGCATTTTTTCCTTTTTATTTTAAATTTTCTTATTTCATTTACTATTTATTTATTTTTATTTAATTTACTTTTTAAAAAGTTATTCAATGTATTTTTTTAAATTTATTTTTTCTTTCATAATTTTCTTTTAATTTTTAGATGTTATTCTTTTAAAAGGAAAACTAGTATTTTTTTAATTTAATTTAATCTTTAGGAGCGTATTTATCTTTTTCTTTTTTTTTAATAAATTGTTTCTTCATTTAGTTTAATTTCTTTTAAATTTTTAGACCTTATCGTTTTAAAAAGAAAAATACCTTTTTTAGTTTAATTCAATTTTTAGAGACTTGTTTTATCTATTTTTGTTCATTTGGTTTAATATGCTTTTCTTTTTTTAATTAAATTTTTTTAAAATTATTGGGTTTTTTAAGAATAAAAATATTTTTTTTTTGTTAATTTTTCGGTATCTACTATTTTCTTATTTTTTTGATTTAATTTCTTAATTAAATTTTCTTAACATTTTTGGGTTTTTTAAGAATAAAAATATTTTTTTTGTTAATTTTTAGGTATTTACTATTTTCTTCTTTTTATACCCGAGCGCACTTGTGCACAAGGGTATGTTAATTTTGTTCACATAACGGTTGTTTGTAACAGCCAAAACGAATCGAGATAGATATAGACAAATGTATACATAAATGATCAGGATGAAAAAAGAAATCGATTAAGCCATGTCTGTCTGTCCGTCCGTCTGTCCGTCTGTCCGTGTACACGATAACTCGAGCAAAAATTGAGATATCTCAACGAAATTTAGTATGTAGGTTTCCCTTAATCCAAGGTAGGTTGGTATTGAAAATGGGCGAAATCGGACTTTAGCCACGCCCACTTCCCATGTAACGGTAATTTCCAGAAATACGAAAACTGCGATATTTTAGTAACTAATGAAGATAATTCACTCAAAATTGATATTTATAATAAGTTTTAGTCGAAAAATAAGAATATTATAAGTTTTTGGAAAATGGGCGTAGCCACGCCCACTTATGGTTACTTGTGTATAACTTGGTAACCGCTTCACCAATGTCTTCCAACCTTGGCACAGTTGTTGGCCTTGGTACAGCATAAAAAATCGCCGAAACTTTTTAAAATCGGACAATAACCACGCCCACATCCCATATAACGGTAATTTAGAGAAATACAAAATCTTCGATAAATCAGTAAATATTGAAGCTAATTTATTCAAAATTGATGCTTGCAACAATTCTTTACCAAGAAATACGTTTATGGTAAAATTTTGGAAAATGGGCGTGGCACCGCCCACTTATGATCACATATAAGTACATATATCGGTAACCGTTCTACCAATTTGTACCAAACTCAGTGTGGTTATTGTGCTTGCCACATATAAGCAAAACGTTGAAAATTATTGAAATCGGACTAAAATAACGGCCGCTTCTCATATAACGGTAAATTTCAGAAATGCTTGAAACTTCAATATTTCGAAATTGAAGGACGCTAATTTACTCAGAATTGATACACCCCGGCTTACCATCTAGCGGAAGGTTTCGGAAAGGTGAAAAAACATATATTTAATACTTGCGCCGGGTATTTAATGTTCGGCTCCGCCCGAACTTAGACTTTCTTACTTGTTTTGATTTTGATTTTTTCTTTTTCTAATATAATTTTTAGATTTTATTGTTTTAAAAGAAAAAAATATTTTTAGTTTCAATTAAAGTTTAAAAATATTTTTATTTATTTTTGCTTTATTTCCGAAAGGCAGAAGTACACTCGAGGAAAGTTTTTATGTTGGACGTGTTCGGAGCGGGAATCAAAGCTGGGTCCTCTGCTGATAGTATGCGCATCGGAGTATGATTTTGACTTAAAAATTGTACCTGTTTTAATCCCTAAAAAGTAGTATTTTTATATCCGAATGCATTTATGCATATGGGTATATAACCGTTGTTTGTAATAGCCTACCGGCATCAAGAGAGATATAGAGTCACGTATACTATACATATATGAAAATGTCTGTCTGTGCGTCCGTCCATCCATACGATAATTCGAATTGAATTAATATATATTTCAATGCAAGTTGCTGTCTGGCTTATTCTTGGCTCAACGTTAGTTTGTATTGAAAATGGGAGCAATAGCACTGAAACTATGCCTACCTCCCGAAAATGGGCGTAACACCGATTATTTATGATAAAATGGTACACGCATCTTGCTTTTGATCTCGCTAAGTTAGACGTTGAAATTTTTTGCAATAACTAGGCCTACTTCCCATATAACAATATTTCATAAAAATGCAAAAACTGTTACAATTCGCTATGTAATGGTGCTAAATTGGTCAGATTTGATAGTTGGAGTCAAATTTTAGCCAGAAATTGGATTTTTGCAAAATTTAGGAAAAGGACTGTGTGGCCACGCCAACGCCCGTATCCGGCAACGAACGCAAACGACTATAATATAATAATCGGGTTCGAATGCCATCAGGCGCTTCCTTATTTTTCATTTTTCGAACCATGAAAAAGTATCCGTGAAGTGCAGAAGGAAAGCGTATTGAACGAAAAATTCAATCAATCGAAAAATTTCAGGAAAACAGCCAAAAAAGTAACCGCTTCAAAACAATTTTCGGTTCTTGCTCGATGTATACTAAGTAACGAATAGCGAGAGCGGAGCTCGGAGCGAAATAACATACCGGAGCGGAGCTAGAGCGGAGCGATGAAAAAAAAACTCTGCTCATAAGCCCTGGTTATTAGTGTTTCTCTCTGGCGGCCGCATTTTTTTATTACTTTGAAGTTTTAAAGACATGATTAACCCAAAAAAAATTATTTATAAAATTCAGTGCAATGTTGATAATTATAGATTGGCGCTTGCAACCATATGTTAGTGTTTGCCCGAGCTGATATTGTCATACAAAGAGGGACCTACAGTTTTACGCCGACTCCGAACGGCGATTGTATGCAAATAGAAAATTTTGTTGCATTGAAAATAAAAATAGATTGTTTAGTGCACTATTACGAAGAGATATTGAAAATGTCCTTTTAAAACTCTATCCTTGAATATCCTTTCAATTTCAATTTTCAATACCTATTCGTCTTTGTGCAACAAAAGCTTTAATTCTTTTCAATTCAACAGAATTTTCTCCTTTATTTGGTACATATCTTAATATTGTACATTACACCGAATTTTTAAAATAATTGTTTGTATCAATCATATGTTTTAAATTTCGAAGAGAACGGCATAATAGGTCTGCGGTAAAAAAATTAGAAAAATAAATTTATTTTAACTTTAACTACAATAAAAAACGCTCGTTGAACGTTTTCTTATTTGCTTTAAAATTTATTTAATGAAACTATCTGATGTCTTACTGCATGTCATAAAAAATGTGTGGAAACCCAAATTGAATGTATGTAACTCATACGCCCCGTCGCTCTGTAAAATAAAAAGCTACAGGCTAGCAATTGCCGTTGGCAAATCTCATTTACATATTTATGTACATCTGCCCCCGGACTTTGCTTATTTACAATTTATCCAATATGATTTGCTAAATAAAGCAAAACAATTTCTGAAAACAAATAACAAAACAAGTGAAAGAAAATGGCCACGCAGAGAAAGTCATTACAACATATTTATCCAACCCATTTCCAAAAAAAGGTATACTAGCAATCATAAACAAAAAAAAAAAACAATAAAATAAAAAACAACACCCAAAATAGCCAAATTTACCAACAAATGCGCATATAATATCAAATAAAATGTACCCGTGAATTGGTCAACTGCTATTGTGTTTCCTCTTTAGCTGCGCTGCGCTTTGCTTGTCTGGTTGGCGTTGGCGTACACTTCCGCTTGTTCGAGTATTCAGTTGAAACTTTTCATACACCACTTAAGTAATTAAGCAGTTAAAATTTGTTTATGCTGTTACACAAATTTTTCTTTCAAATTCAAAAAGCACTTTTTACTTGCTCAGAATTTAACACGAAAAAAAATGCTTGCAAATTCCCAAAATATTCAAATTTTTTTATTTTTGAAATTTTTTTTTTCTGTGGAATATTTTTGCACTTCCAAATAATTTTTGTACACAAGATTTTCAAGAGCGCGTCGCTTTTAACGTTTTAGCTGTTGAAGCGTTTGCTTTGAGAATCCTTTGCAGACTGTTCAGTTTACGTTCCGAAACAGGGTTTTTGCTTGAAAATTCCTGGCGATTGGTGGTGGTGTATCGGCATAAGGGCTCATATTATTGCCGAAGAGTTCACCACAGCAGCGCTACAATGTGGACAAGAGAGTGTGGAAGAATTGGAGAGAGAGAGAGAGCGAAATGGGTTTGAGTGTGAGCTAATAAATATTCCTGGGCATTCCATTATATACAAGAAAATCAGAGGGGGAAAAACGAGGTGGCGCGAAGCTATGAATGAAAATGTGAACTCCCTACGGTTGTGCTTGCAGCTGAATGAGGCAATATGTTGCTGCAACGAATGATGTCGCATGCAGATGGGTAAATGTAAGGTGGCGGTGAATGCGCGCGTGTTTGGGGTTCGACTCTCAATCAGCAAAGGTCCTTCTAACAAGATCGATTAGTAGAAAAGCCTTGTTTCTTCCGACTTGATAGACTCTATTTAGATTTTTTGCTTAGGCATATATACATTAATTATAATTATAAATATTGTGTTGGATGAAGGCATTAATATAATTTTTTTAATCTATAATTGAAAATTTCATGATAAAACTGATCTTTTTCATGTGCACTTTTACTCAGAAAGGTATTCAAATGGCGAATGTGAAAGTTAAATTTACACTTCCCATCAAATTTTAAAATTATACCAGTTTTAAATTCTATGTATACTATACTAAAATAGTAGTAACAACAAAATAACAAATTTTAACGTTAGACGTTTCTATATTTTAGACCGCTTTCGACCAAATTTTCGACCACTTTCCATCAAATTTTCGTCCACTTTCGACCAAATTTTCGACAGCTTTCGACCAAATTTATGACCACTTGACAAATGATTTGCAAACCGGTGAACTTTTTTATATCTTTATCGAAATTGCACACTGTAGCTAAAATTCACCACACGGGCATCTCCACTTCAACCACCACGTCCTTCGCAACCTATGTAAATGTTGCTGCCCTGGCCAATACACACTCAGCACACATGCGCACCGAAAAAAATCACATATAAACAGCAAAAAAACGCACAGAATTCTGCTCTGACTTGAGTTCTCTCTCGCGTTGATTTGATTTCAAAACAAACTGTTGGACGCGGCTACAACAACATATAAAAACAAAAATAGTCAAAATACGCGTAATAACAGTACAAAAGAAAAACAAAGATGGTCGAACCTAGTGTGCACGATTGGAAAAGCAGAAAAAGAACTGAATCAATGTTTGTGAAGACACAACTCGGGATGGCTAAGAACCTACGAGTGAAACTAGACCAAATTTGGTAGTGTGAGATATTGAGCTGGGAATGGAAATAGGGGGTGAATAGATATTTGAGTAAATGGTTTAAGGCACGGAATATATGTAGTATGTATGTATAGTGTGTTGGTACATACATATGTACACTGCCGGAAAAGAGATTTGGCACTGAGAATTTTTCACAATGTATGCAAAATTTTTATTTTCATTTTTGTCCACTGATTTTTAATAAAAATAATATTACATAAATCGAAAATAAAATTTCTTAACTTTGGGCAAAACGCGAGAAAATTCTATAAATATGCATACAAATTTGCAACTTTCTAGTCACATTTTGTTTCTGACGGTGTTATTACTTTGTGTGCAAACTATATTAAAAAAATGCAATGGAAAATTTTAATAAAAAATTTTACATACACATACCGAACAAGCACAAAGAATTTTTCACAATATATGCAACAATTTTTATTTTTTTCAGCTAATTTATTATAAAAATACGGTTCATACTACAACAAAAAAACATAACAATATGATTTCTAAAATTTGTGATAAACTCTAGAAATTTGCATACAGATTTTCAACTTTTCAATCAGATTTTTTATAATTTTTTGAGTACGTAACCAATTTGATATCAAAAAATTCAAGCTTGAAGTTGTGGAAAAATCGCGTTGATTTTTGAGAATTTTTTCTATACAAAGTATTTTCGAACTTTTTTATGGAAAAAGGGCTTAAAAAAGGTTCCAGAAATCAACGGTAACTTCTAGCTACTTTAACAGGGCAATTCTGGCAACTATCTTCACCTCACCAAAGTCTTTCGAAAGACAAAAATCTCTATTTGGCATATTATTGTGAAAAATTCTCTGTGGGAATACTTATTTCCGACAGTGTTTGTATGCATGCATAAACTTATAAATATTTTTGTGAAGAGTTATATAGACTCGCCTAGCACCGCACAGCCAATGATTATCAGCCACCCCTCGTATATTTAAGAACTTTCGTACAGTTTTAGTACATAGTTTTTTTATTTTTCTCTGCTATCATTATCCAATTTTTTTTTACTACATATATACATATATTTTTCTATACAAATATTAATCATCACATTAAATACGCGGTCTTGTTAAAGCAAGCGAAAATTCACAAACCAGCGGCTGTGGCGTCAACATAAACAAACGCATGTTTAAAAACTATGCATTTGTTAGGGATGTCCTTTTGTACTCTATAGTTATAGCTTTGAAATTTTACAGTACATACATACTTATTTGTTATTACATACGTACGTATTACTTACATATTGATCATCATTTGAAAATCCGTTATCTCGGTTTTGACGTTCTATACAAATTAAATGCCACTTTCAAAGCGTCTCATAAAGGCGTCAGTAATTTTTGCCGTAGTCTTTATGCAAATTGAAGAAGAAGAACGACCTTTTATCTGGTGTTCCGTAAAATTAACGGAAATGGGAGCCGTTCTTTTACTAAAAAGTTCCTTGGGGATACACTTTTATACATTTCACATTGTAGTTTTATTAAAATTTGGCCTTAAGGACACCGGAAAATTAATACAAAAAAATTATGAGATGTAAAAATTTTCATTTTTCCAAAATATTTATCTAAAATTTTGTGACCCAATATACCTACGCAGATTGTAAGATTTTTTTTTTCAGAAAAACGCCCAGATTAAATTAGGACTTGCCTAATGTCTAAATATCAAATTGATGCACACATGCATACCAACGTAAATAACTAATTAACATATTCCCAAGTCTGATAAGTTGCTAATATGGGGAAATACGTTGCGATTTCTCAGTGATCACCATGCGTTATTTCCCACTGAATACTTACGTACATATGTACATATGTGTGTATGTACAGTGAATCCCAGAAGTATTTTGCATTGATCTGTTTTTTCGATATTCCAAATTTTTTCATGTTATATTATTTTCGTTATTTGTTTATAAAAATATACTCATTCTACAGGAACAACCATGCAAACCCATTTTTCAACAAAAAAAATATCAAAAAATCAACGAAATTTTTTGGCAATTTAAAACTTGCGATTTGTTATACCAAAATTAAATGGGCTATAAAATTGCATACTTGAATTTTTCGTAAAAAATCTGCTTAAAAAGTTTGAAATTTCGATGAATACTTCTTGAATTTTGCCTAATTTTCTACGAAGTTTGAAATTTAGATTTACGTGGTGTTTGTTGTAGAATGAGCTATATTTTTTTTTTATTAAAGATTAACGAAAAACATTGTAAATATCGTAAAAAAAATCAATACAACATACTTCTGGGAGTCACTGTCTGTACATATATAGTATCGTTGAAGCTTGCATTTAGCGATAAGACAGCGTTGACTAGAGTTGTCTAAATCAAGGTACATAATTAATCGGTTTATTTAATGCTCGAAATATTATCAATATGTATTACTTTAACGATTTTCTTAAAAACTTTGGTATTTAAGCCGCCTTTCACGAATTTCCGAAGCTCAGCAACTGCCGGCGAAGAAAAGAACTTGATTTTTTTTTTTATAATTTCAACCTTTTTTACTGTTTATTCTGATTCGGGAATCACCATCTAATTCTGCTATGACGCACTTGTTTTATCAATTTCTACATTTATGATTAAAGTCATCACAACATTATTAAATAACCGGTTTTTCCATAAGTGCTCTAAAAGCCAAGCTTAGCAGCTGAACAACACTAAAAGCAGCTGTAGCGACTTTCACATTAAATCTCAAGTTATTTGTAAACATTTCAAAAGATCACTTTTATTTCACGCCGAGACAGCGGCTACGGCAGATAGTCGGCAACAATTCGCAACTGCATACAAAGTAAACGGCTTGCAATGCGAAATCAAACATTAAATATTTCTTGGTAAGTTGAAGGGCCAGCTGTATAGTAAAAGATAAGACGAGGCTAATTTTTTCCACGAATTGCGTTGAAAGATTAACAACTCAAACTTAATTTACTTAAAAAAACTAATACAGATACATAAATAATTTTTCCACAATTTTTCTCAATCTCTGTTTTTTTTTTAATTATCTTTTATAGTTTAACGCTACTCCTACTTTTGCAAGTGTGCATCCTGCCTAATGTCTATGCTCAAGCGGAAACTTGCATTGCGCCAAATGGTTCGGCGGGTTACTGCCTAGTCTATACAGAGTGCGCCAATTTGACGCAATGGCGCGAGCATCATAATCTTAAAACTAGCGAGGATGTGCAGAAGATGTTTTGCAAACAAGATGTGAGTACAATTTACTAATATTTATTTTTTTGACCTAAGTCTTTTAAAATTTGCACTAGTGTGGGAACCCTAGCAAAAAATCGCGAGAATATTTGTCTATGAAAGTGGTGCATTTTATTTAACGCATACTTTAGCAAATACATTGTCCAGAATTCAAGTTTAAAAAAAATAAAAAGTTAAAAAATTTCGATGGATGAAAAAAGGTGAAATTTAACATTGACATGATCAATTTCAAATTTATGTTTGCTATAATATTCTGTTTTGATCAAATTGGCCTATGTGCAAGAAAAAAGTGAAATGTTTTTGCCAAAGAAGGAAACTAATGAAGTGTTTAAAAATAAACGAAGTCAAACACTTCGATTTAAGTGAAAACGAACTACACCTTTTTCATACATATAAAAAGGCAAATAATGAGGGAGAAGGAACTTATGCAAATTTTTTAATGCCAGAAATAAATGAATCAAACGAAATCAATGCTTGCTATCCTGGACTTCGAAAAGCCAAATGTCCAGAGCTACAATTTAATCAGGCTGCTTCAGATACGTAAGTGTTTTGGTCTCCCATGGGGACTTGCTGTATAAACGATTCGAAGGTAACTCTAAACCCAACAAAAAACAGTTTTAATTTAACAGCTGTTAGTTGCGTGCGACATAAGTCGAGGCCAGGTCAAGATTTTGTGTCATCTTCCCTCCCTACCTATTGTCCACCATTTTTTTTAAAGCAAAAACACTAATACACATTTCCAAAGAAATTTGGTGCGCTAAATCCGAATCTGGCCGCAGAATTGTTATTTCACGTGAGGTTTTTGAAGGGGTATAAAACGATAAGACTTACTCTTTTAGGTGCCGTTGCTCAAATACCTATTTTTCGCTGAGCTTTCGCGTTCTCTAAAAATGTGTGGTTCAAAGGATTAATGGATATTATATTAAATATATTAAATATTAAAATTTTCAAATGCGATATCTTCGCGAAAGAAAAAAATATTTGGGCAATGGCATTGGAAAATGGAGATTTGGGTTTTAAGATAATTTCGCTACTTTTCTGTGAAAAAATTTATTTACACTTACAAAAACACTTCGAAAATATATGTTAGTATATCTGACTCTTGTTGGCCGGTATTATTCATTATAATGAGACGTTACTATTTTCGACACTAACTAAAAATGCGTACTTGTTTTAAATATTAATTATTTTTCATGAGAATTTGGTCTAGACTGTGGATAACTAGTGGAAATCGTCAGTTTGCAGAAGGTGAATGAAACATACAGCCATATCTTGAAACCTTCAGATTTTCAAAACTAGGGCCAACATTTTTTTCAGAGACGTCTAAAATTCTACTCGTAGTTCCTACTTATCATCTGCAGCAAAAATATTGTCTAGTTCAAAGTTTTACGCAGCAGTTTGTAGTTTTCGCATGATTTTTCCAGTTGGGTATTTCCCAGCAATATGACATACCTTGCGTGGTATATTGTTCACTGATAACATTCGGCCCTATGTCGAATATCGTCATCATTAGTAAAAGTGACGATACGGCCATCGTCAGCCTATTAGTTTACAGCTAAAAACGAACGAACGAAACGATGCATGTTCGTCCGTGCATACTTTGCCGTTGGTAAACGGATTCTCCAGTTATTAGTAACTTTGTGATTGGCCTTTGTTATTGAACAAGCGGCATTTGACGATACCTCGAAAACTAGCGGGCTTGAACTGGTATAAGATTTCTGAATGATCATCGATTTTGGCCTTGTATTTTTTAAATAATCTCCAAATAAATTACTCAACATTCACTTAGCAAATCCACGTTTGCTGCAACTACACCAATCCCTACTTCACCGGCGTCGACTATTTGTCCCAGTTGAACCCTGAAGGCTTGGCATTACTCCAATCAGTACAATGTACTCGACCAATTAGCGACCGTGTGGCCAATGGAGAGAACGCGATACTTGGTGAATATCCCTTCATGGCATTGTTGCGTTACGACGGGGCAAAACGTCCATATTTATGTGGTGGATCGCTGATAACAAATCGTTTTGTGCTCACGGCAGCTCACTGTATCACACGAAAATTGTAAGTGCATGCCGATGCTGTGAATACTTCTGTACAAGCGTTTGTTTTATATTTATTCAAATTCCAGAGTTGGTGTTCGTTTGGGTGAGCATGATCTTAGAACTGATATCGACTGCGCGAGCGATACACTCTGCCTGCCGGAAGCAGAAGATTTTGAAATTGCACAGATAATCAAACATCCAAGCTATAATCAGCCATATATGACGCACGATGTGGCTTTGCTAAAACTCGATCGTAAAGTGAAATTTAAAGGTAAGTTTTTATTTGTGAAATAAATGATTTATTAATCATTTATAAATGTGTTCTTAGTGCACATTAAACCCATTTGTTTACCAATCACACCACTCGTCTTGGACTACAACAACCTGCCAAAGTCCTACTACATTGCTCCGTATGCCCCGGAGAATAGTAAGTCCAGTAGCTACATATGTATGTAGCCTTGTTTGTAGTATTTCTCATTTCCAAAACTACAAAATCTTACTCAAAAACATTAATTTATTTATACTTATGTATGTATTTGTATGTATTTTCGAATAGCAACTAGCACCGATATTTTGCAGCGCGCTGAAATTCCCCATCAGGATCGTGAAGTTTGCAAAAGAATATTCGGTCCTATGGGTGTAGGAATTACGAATGATCACATCTGCGCTGGTGGCGAGCGTCAAGTCGATACGTGTAAAGGAGATTCTGGAGGCCCACTTTTTGCTTCAGTGCCATTTAAGAAAGTCAAGAAAATTACATTTAATCGTCAAGTGCAATATGGCATAGTGTCGTTCGGCTTGATTGGTTGCGGGGGTGAGGGTACAAGCGCGGCAGCCTATGCAAATGTCTTTGAATATATGCCATGGATTACAGAAATGTTAGCCGAACATACTTGACTAGAATATTGTTATTTATTTACATACATATATTTAGAGATTTTTTAATATACACACATCCATAATCGTAGACCTTCAGTTTTTATTTAAAAAATTGTGTTTCAAAATTGGAATTTACGGATTTCCTTTTAACACATACACTAGGCGACAATCGAAAGTGTACATCTTATTCTAATATAATAATCTCAATTATTTTCTTGAACAATTTTTTGCATTAATTGTTTATGAAAATATCGTACATTCCATGATACAGGTATTTTTTGAAGTTTGTCTACTTTATAAAATTTAAATTTTCAGAGCATCTCAAATGCCAAATAAAAGTAAAACAAAAAATAAATAAATGACGATATTAAATTTTGCTTTTACTTGAGACTGAAAGTGGGAATGTATGTGTGAGATTGAAAGTTTGAAATCATTTTTGTTATATCAGCAAACTTCAAAAATGTTGACGCTGTCCCTTAGCGGTTTTACCTTTAAATTTTTGTACCATGGTTTATTCTATATATAATATTAACCATAAAGTTTCACACTTTATATAAAGTTCCCAAAAATTCAAAAAATTTTCAAGTTTTTATTCAGAACTTCTAACTAGTAGGCGTATTTTGTAGCCCATTCAATTTTAGTCTAATGAAGTGCAAGTTTCGAACGGCTAAAAAATCTTTCATTCTTGTTTTTTTTTTTTTGGTGACGGAGTTTTGCACTTTTTTCCATATAAGCATGAAGTTCTTATTTCAAAAAACGTGAGTTTTTGTAAATTGTATTTGTTATATAAAAAAACACAAAGGCAGTCCCCAAAAAAAGTCTCAAAAATGAACGCGATTTTTTAGCGGGTTGAAACTTGCACTTCAAGAGACAACTTCAATGGGCTACAAAACTGCATACTTGAAAATTTTCTAGAAATGGTGAATAAAAAGTTGAAGAATTTGATGAACATTCTTTTTAATTTTTGTGAACTTTATATAAAGCGAGAAACTTTGACTTATATGATTTATATTAAATGAACTATATGTTCACAAATAATTAATGCAAAAATTTGTTCATGAAAATAACTGTGGAGTTTATATTAGAACAAGGTGTACACTTTCATTTGTCGCCTAGTGTAAGTGTGCCTAGGGGCCTGTAGTCATAGAGAAGTTAAGACAAGATTCTAACGACTATAATTGTGTTTTATAATAGTTGCGATCCCGTACGAGTCCGGACTAGTCAGAAATAGTCAGAATCAGTCAGATTTTACAGGAAATCGATCCCGTACGCGGTTCTCTGACTACTGAGAGGACAACAAAGATAGTAAATGAGGTCCTCTCTCAGTCAGAAGTTACCAGTTTTAGTCCGAGAATTTTTTGCTGGTAAATTCTGGTAAATGTGTCAAACGATCTGTGGTGTGTTTGGCAACCAAATTGTAAACAAAAGAAAAGTGCACTCTGCTAGTTCATGTGGAAAAGTATAAATTACTTGTTTAAGTGGATTCTAATGAATTAAAAAGTATTTTTGGTTACTTACATGCATGATACAATTCGTCCGCCATTGGGTTTTTTTGCCGTTTGCTAGCATTTTGAGTTTTCTCTCTCGAAATGCGATTAATGTCAAAGAAATTCAAAATAAACAAATGAAAATTTATGATTTGAAGTATTCATTTATTCGGAAGTTGAGAAAACTAAAACAATTCGAAACGAAAAATTAGTTGCTGCTTTAACGGCTGCCCATATTCCTTTTCCTCTGCAAGCAAAGCAATCTAAAGATCCTCAAGTTCCCGCAACTATTGTATATATAGCAAAAATGGATCGAGGTTTCTGGTGTTATGAAAACGGATTTGCCAAAGTGCGCCTATGTATGCTCGACTCATTTTTTGCCACACCACCTGACCCAATGTAAGCACAAGATAGTTCTTTGCAAAAGTACAGTGCCCTTAAGGTTAAATATCTTCAAATGCATGCCAAAAGCTTCGCCTTAACATGCGGGCACCTGAACTTTTCAATGTTACTCTCTCGCTCTGATCGAATTTTTATTTTTTGACAGTTTTACTAGTTTTAGTCCGAGGAATACCGGATTGCACCTAATAATCACCATTTTAACATAATCAAAAAAAAATTAATTGCAATTACAATTAACGGTTGAAAAGTTGAAAAAAACGGAAGGAAATATGTATGTATGTAATAGATTAGTTTCTTAAATTTCTGGCCAAGTTTCGGGCAATTGCGTTACAAAATGTTTCTTAAGATGTCTACGATTGACAAAACTTAAAAACCTATACTAAACTTAAAGTTTACGGCTATGACTATGGGCCGTTAAGCAAACGAGCGTGAGTATGAGATGCTCTCACAAATGAAGGGAAACTGCCGCAAACCTTGGAAACCCAAAAACGCCCAATTTCGTGATCGAAACTAAACGTCAAGTCGTATAAAATTTTTAATTTAAAATTGCTCGAAAAGGAACTCATTAACGTAAAGTCGTAATGACTTATCAAAGAACAAACAGCTGAATATGCTTCCCACGACCCAGCTTTATATCTGGCCAGGAACTGTTCCTTCAGCATCACTCCCCAAAAACTCTTTGGGTAATTTTTATGCTGTTACAACGATAGCAACAGCTAAATATGCATATATTTGTTAGTTAAAAGCCGCCTGTTATTCATTGTTCTTCTGGCAGTGTGACAGTTTTTACAAACTTGCCCAGAAAAATATTTCGGACTTTCTCGGGCTAGTGAGAAGCTCAAATTACTCTCACAAAGTGGCTCTCAACAGTCCGAGAACTCCAAGTTTCGAGCAAATGCTTTACAAAATAAGCCAATATTTACTCCCAATGAGTGAAATATGCAAGAAAGTACGAAAACGCAAAACAAGCAAGTTGGTAGTTTTATGAACAGATGATTAATTTGTGATTTTCCGATTCAATTTTCTTAGAAAACTGGTATTTTCCATCTCATTATATATTTAAATAGGTTTATTTTGTCAATTCCCTGCAAAAATAGCGACTACTCCATGCATGCATGTAAAGAGTACTCCCGAAGGACCAAGGAGTACTCCAAAATTAACCACAATTCATATAAAAAATATGGCCCAATTAACATTGCGATGTCCTAGGGCAGGACCATATACTCCATCCCTGCATTACATCAGAGTAGCACAAAACTACTCCAACATATTAACAATGGCATTGTTGTTATATTTTTTCGTTTGTACTCGCTTTTGTTCTTCACTTCTCAGATGCTTTTTCGAAATTAATAAAAACTAAGACAAAAATTAAAAATTACATGTTGCCTCTGACGGCATTCGAACACGAACATGCTGGGAGCTCACAACTAACAGCTAGCATCTCTACACGTTCAGCTACAGCCATACATGCAAATATACTTTCAAATGTTCAACTTCAATCACATTTCGTTAAAACACGAGCAGTTATCGGGTAACAAAAAATAAGCTGGCGCAGAGACACGAGTTGGTCCGCTACAGCGTGACAGAGGAACACTTTTGTAAGTACTCCAATATACCACAAATAGACTACATGGTCCAATGATTTTTGCAGGGTTGCAACTCCAAAATCATCACAAACAATTATTTTGGTAATGTGAATTACATTAAGACTGCTTTTACACAGTTCAAGTATTGAATTCAATTCTGCTCGCATGTGGTAGAGAGGGGGTGAGAAGAAAAGGGACGAGTACACATGCGTCTGTACCGTCAAGTCGTTTCAACTTTCGTGCTTTGCTTTTGGCATTTTCGTTGCTTCCCATTTAAAGAACCAAAGACTTGAATTCAACAGAATTGAAACGTGTAAAAGCAAATAAAAAACACAAAAGAGAATGAGCAAGAATTGCTTTCAATTACTTGAATCATGTAAATCAGGTGTAAGCATCATGCCATCAGCTGTTTTTCTTAGGTTGGTGTTATGCAGAAACTTTGTTTGGCAAACTGCGTGCAATTGTTGTTGTAGCAAACTCGGAGAGAGCGAGTTTGGCGACTCTCACAGCAAACTAATTTTGTTTGGTCAAACTGCAGCAAATTCGGTGTTGTCACATACAAAAATTTTAAATTGTGCGCGTTATGTACATCTGAAATTCTCATTTCGTGTTGGCAATAGCCATGAAAACCATAATGAACGTGCAACCCTGTGCCAAACTCGACATAACCACCTCCGAGCAAACTAAAGAGCGAAATACACCACACAAGCGGCTTGTCAAACATTCTTCAAACCTACTTTTCCCATTTCGCCATACACCATGCAAACATGACTCGTTCAAGCAAAGAATTTTAGTTTTCTTCCAATTCGCAATGCTAAATATTATGGTTTTCTTTCATTTTCCTCTCTTACGTCCTTACTCGGTGAAAATTTCGTTGCGAATGAGGCGATTTTGCTATACACAACCCAAGCGGTTTGATCAAACATCAACATGGCGGCCAGAAAATCAAAAAATTTTGATTTTTGCTCAAATTTCCCTCAAGCGGTTTGTCAAACCTTCAAACACCCCCATACACAGCACAAATGGCTTGAAGCAAAGGGAAATTTCGCTTGGTTTGTCAAACCGCTTGTGTGGTGTATTTCGCTCTTAACAGCAGCCGCCATTTAATTTGGCAAACAAAAGTTTGTCTGCATAACACCGACCTTACTAGCAAATAGTTGCTAGTAAAAATTCATCCAGTAGAAATCCAGTAAAACTTGCAGGTTCAGCTGTCATTTTTGCTCTCTCAATTTCCCCACTTTTGCTAGTTTCTTGCAAGTTTTTGCGTACGAAAACGACAACCAGTAAAAAACCAGTAAAATTAGTTGGATTTACTGTAGAAAATACAAAAAAAAACGGGTAGACAAAAGGAAAATGTTTACTTAACTTGAATTAAACGATAAAACTTCATAGATATTGAGTTTAAATTTCCCTCGATCGGAAAGCGGAACAAAGAAACAGTATTAAATAAAATATACATATACAGGCCGATTCCGAACAGAAACTCCCTGGGAGTTTTTTCTCTTCTTACTTTCCTCCTCTCATGAATAAATATTCCCTGAGAATTTTTTATATTAATCGAAGTTCGAATTTCGTCTCAAGTTTTCGGGGAAAATGCTACTCCCTAGAATTAATTATTGGAGGATTTCTTTCCCAGGAGAAACAAATTCCCGGAGAACGAACGCCCCTGGAATATTAAGAACTGGGCTGATAAAAATTTTATAAAATAGTAGTGAATACGAAATAAAATTAATGTATAAAAAAATTGTGTAGTTCTACAGCGTCACCCTGCGACAACCTTCCTTGTACATGGCATAAAGCTGCTTTCTGGCATGTAGGACAACAACAACAAACTTTTATAAGCAGATGACAGCAATGACAGTAGTTGAGAAATATCAGCGAAAAAAATAAAAAAAACAGAGGTGCAAAAATTGATTAGAAAAAATTAAAAAAGGAAAGTGAATCAAAATTGAAGTGCTTATTAAAAATAAATTTTAAGGATTTGCCTCGGTAACGAAAACTGCAGCGCAAGTACTTATGTAGAGCTGAGCAATTAGACATAAGCTAAAAGACTACGGGGCCCTCCGTTTAAGGAGGTGACGAAGTCCAGCAATTGTGGCATTTCCAGGTGTGACTTAACACTATCGCTCGCACATAAACCCAAGTAGAAAAAAACCCCGTTTGTATATGTACATATGTGCAGTTTAGTTAAATAAATAATACGAAAATCAAATAAACAAACGCTGGTGGAGTTAAAAAGTTATGACCGGCAGAATGCGTAACACCACAAAAGTTGAGGCACTTATTGAGAGCTGTCGCAGCGAAGGCAAGTGGCAGCGTGTCATCGAGCTGACCGAGGAACTCAAAACGGGCTCGCCCAACAATGGTGAGTGCTTAATGTAAATGGGTTGGAGAAATTTTTAATTTAATTAAACAATTAAGGTAAAAAACTTCAATTGTATAACGAAAACTACTTATTTAGCCATGAAAACCATAAAAAACAATATTAAACGCTATTTAAAACAACAACACCGACCTTTGTTTAAGTGTGTCATTGAGAATAATAAATGGCAAATTAAGAAAGTAGTGTTAAAGGTTAAAATATTATGTCATCAAACAGACAACAGCAACAAAACAAAATAAAAGACGCACTCCGCATGCGAAAGTAGTAGTTTCTTATTTGTGTCACTCACTACAAGCCATTGGAAAAGCGGGTCGCTTTTGCCCTATTGTGTTGATAGAAATCTACAAAACTTTACTTAAATTTTTAATTTTTAAGTTTTAAGTTGTTTCATGTTATAATGCGCTGAATATTAATCACACAAAAATCTTGACCATTTTCTTATTTCCTTTTCAGAATGCCTTGCAAATTTCCTTATTGGTGAGGCGAAACTGGAAAACTACCTCGAAGAAAATGCACCCATCGAAAGTAATTTTGCCAAAGCCAAAGCCGGACTGCAAGATGCGAGACGCTGTTTGCAACTAGTCACCGGTGAAAATGGCCAGAAGGCGGGCATTGCCCTTGACGCGTACTTGCTTCTGGCTAAGCTGTGCTACGCCTGCGGCGAGTACGAGAAAAGCTTGGAAAACTTTGTTAAAGCCGAGCTCAATACCTTGGCTGAAAAAGAATTGACACTGTAAGTTGAATGGTTTGCGGATTGCCTATATCGAGTATTTTACTTTTTATACATATTACAGCCGCAGCTTAAAAATCTTAGCTGAATCATATGCCATAAAAGGGTTGTGTTTGGAAAACCAGACCAGTAAGCCCACATCGAAATTTAAAAAGGCCGAAAAAGAAACGGAAATGGTAGGATGAAATTTCGCTTCATATAAACCAAAGTTTTTCTATACATTGTTTCCTCTATATCTCATAGATTTCTTGCTTTGAGCGCGCCACTGACTTGGGTCTATTGTATTTGCAAGAGCAAGATATTGCCACATATTCTTCAGCGACGAATAACGCAGTCAATGCGGGTTCTATGTTGGCCATAAACACCACTAGCAATATGGTTGGTCTACAATCTTCGCTGGGTGGTAGTAGTCTCACGATAAGCACCACCATACCTGCCAATCCACTCGAACTTAACCGTCGCATGGGTGCCATACTCGAGACAGCACTGCAACGCGCCCCAATTGTGCTAATTAAGGCGGGCAAATTACAAGAAGCCATCGAGCGTTATCGCACCATGCTGAATGCGATCGAAACAAAAACAACGCAATCATTGCGCTTAACACTGGCACGTCAATTGGCAGAAGTACTGCTGCGCGGTGTCTCAGGAACCATTTATACAGCGCCATTCACCAAGAAGCCAACAGGACAGGCACTCCGTTCGACCACAACAAAACGCTTGTGGAAACCACGCAAATATGCGGCACGAACTCAATTTACGCCACGTAACCAGCATGAGGAGACGATTCTGTTGTTACTTATTTCAGAAGCATTAGCGGTGCGCGACACAGTGCTCTCACAGAGTCCAGAATTTCGTGTAGCTCGTCAGCATGCAATGGGTAATGCTTCAGCAGTATATGATTTGCTTACACTTGCATCAGTGCGTTGGGGTTTGGTAAATATGCTGCAGGAATCTTTTGAAAAGGCGCTGAAATTCTCTTTCGGCGAACAACATGTCTGGCGGCAGTACGGTATAAGTTTAATGGCCGCAAACAAACATGCACATGCGCTGCGTGTTCTGCAGGAATCCATAAAATTGACGCCAAGTGATCCGCTGCCTTGCCTGCTGGCGGCGCGACTATGCTACGAGTCGTTATCGCAGATCAAGGAGGGTCTGGACCTTGCGCATCTAGCCCTCAAGCGCGAAACGAAAGGTTAGCAAAAAAAAATTTTAATTTTCAACTATTTTATCTACGCTCCTCACAGGCATACGTCCGTCACGCAGTCAGCTGTTCGTTGGTATTGGCTACCAGCAATTGGCTATACTGACAACGCTAAAATCGGAGCGCGACTTGTACAATAAATTGGCATTGGAGGCTCTTGAAAAGGCTGTACAAAACGATGGCAACGATCATCTCTGCGAATATTATCTTTCGCTGCAATATGCGCTGCTCGGCAATATCACCGAAGCATTAACACATGTACGTTTTGCGCTGGCGCTGCGCACTGAGCATGCGCCCAGTTTGCATTTATTCGCACTGTTGCTGACCGCATCCCGGCGTCCACGCGAAGCTCTGGCCGTTGCGGAGGATGCATTGGACGAGTTTCCGGACAATTTGAATTTATTGCATGTTAAAGCCCACCTTCAACTGCATTTACAAGACGCCGAATTATCACTGGTTTCGGTGCAAAAGATGCTGGCCATTTGGCGTGAGCTGTACGAGGGGCAAGTGAGTGCCGAGGAGGAAAAACAGTCGGATACCAAAAGTATTGTGGTGCATGTCAATCCGACGGTAGTCTCATCGCAAATGTCTGACAAGGATTCAAGTAAGTTGAGAGAGGACCAAGGAGCGTGTGGTAAGAAAAATGAGGGCAAAAAAATTGTTTGGCGTCTTTTATTTATTTAATAATAATAAAATTTTAGATCAAAGTCTTAAATAAATAAAATTCTCGATAATTGTGCATTTGAAATAATCAATTGAAGTTGAAATATATTTTTTTTAATATCCGAATAATTTTCAAAATAACTTTTCTGGTATTATTTTACTTAAAACTTCATCTCTCTTACCTTTAGCGAATCTTCAACTAATCTTACAAATATTTTTACGTAATTTCAACTAATTTTCATTTACTTCACATGTTAAAAATTATCATATTTCTACTGTTGACCACTTTTTGCGCAACAACGCATTTTGTAATTGTAAGTGTGACTTATTTATCTATACATTTTTTTAAGAAGAAATGACTTGGCTATGCTTGCAAATCACACGCAAATTTTAAATTTCCTAACTAAGTTTAAAACGCGAGCGCATCACTTGCACTAACTAATTTACTATTTACTGCTAGTTTCCATTTACGAAAACAATTCTATTAGATTTACTCGTATTGCTCAACCTTTTAAGCTACTCTCAATTTTCACTCAGCTCTTCACAGTTGGCGTTTCATTTCTTATAATCACATTACTGCTTATTTGGTTAATAATTAACCTTTTTTAAAGATTCGGTTTATGCTGCTTCCCTGGCGGCAGTTTCCCGCGTCGAACAGGCTTTGAGTGAGGCGGCCAGTTCGCTGAGTTCTTTTTCGCCGCGTCCCGGGCCCCAGCGGCCATGGATGATACAGATAAAGGTAATTTTTAGATGAATTGTTTTACTGAATTTTGGACTTTGTAACGTTCGGTCTCTTTTATACACAGATTTGGCTTTTACTCGCTGATGTCTACTTGAATATCGAACAACCACATGAGGCTTTGAATTGTATACAAGAAGCCTCACAAATATATCCGCTCTCACATCAAATTATGTTTATGGTTAGCAGTATTTTTTATAAATTTCAACCTTTGATTTCACCCGCATAATGTTCCCCATTTTTGCGTACTTTACAACAATTTGAAAATATCACCAAATTCGTCCACCTTGAAAAAATAGTTTATACAGCATTTAAAGAACATTAACCAAACAATTTACTCTCAATCCAATTTCTTTTAGCGCGGTCAAATTTACTTATATCTAGAGCAATGGAACGATGCCAAACAATGTTTCCTTAATGCCGTTTCGGCCAATCCAAATCACACAGAGGCATTGCGTGCACTTGGCGAGACACATCATGTACTTGGTGAGCCCAGGCTAGCGGAAAAAATGTTAAAAGATGCAGCACGTTTGGATCCCAACTGTCCGAAAATATGGTAAGCTATGATAGAAAGAAGACACTGATTTGTATATTTTACTAATAAACGTTTCATATTTCCTACACACATCCAGGTTTAGCTTGGGCAAAGTCATGGAGACGCTAGGCGATTACACTGCCTCCGCCGATTGTATGGCTACAGCGCTGCAATTAGAGCCAACATGTCCAGTACTTCCATTTACCTCAATACCCCTGACCTTCGATTGAGGGCGGAAAATTCAATATTTGCGCGAAATACTGCTGCTGCGTGGAGTTGGTTGCACGTTGAGTTTAACCGGGTTGAGAATGTACATGGTAATACATTTAAAATCCTTGTGACTTGGGTGCAATAAAAATAATATGAAAGATGGGCGTAGTATATAGCGGTAAAATTTACTTTAACTTTAACTAACTTTATCGGTGTGTCTATTGTATTATTAGCAAATATTAAAGTAGTTGATTGTTAATTATACATCGTTTAATTTTGATTTATGTACTTTCATCGTTATTTGGTATGAACCCCATGTATATTCCAAAAATTAAAAATGTGCATTCGTAAGTAGCAATGGTGCGAGATGGTAGAAAGAATTCGTTTATTTGTTTTTTTTTCGACGCCATACAAGTACGCCTTTGGAAATTGCAATATTTACTTACATACTTGGAAACAGATAAATAAATTTGTTAAAAAGATGTGTATGTACATATATATATAAATTATCTTTCTATAAAATAAATGTGTGTTTCAGGAATTTATAGTTATACATTTACCTACATATGCATATACATACATATTTAGTGTATGTATTATATATACCTCCTTCACATTCATATTGTATATCAACAAATACTGTATTGCAAATAAACACTATTATACTTGCAAAAATATGTTAAATAAAAAATTTGCATTGAACGTATTTTCAAAGTTTACAAACCCGTACTCCCTTGTTCTTATAACTAACAGCAACTAATATCAATACACATTTGAGATACATATGTACATGGCATATCCCCCTATTCGGAAATGCAGCAAACCGAAGCTTCGGTGTCTTTTACTTCTAAACTATAATTGCCCAATTGGCGCAGCTAAGTTCCAATTCGGCATCTAACCACGTTTGCGCATATTGCAAATTTCCATCAATTATAGTTTAGAAAGAGGCTGATGCTTTGTTTGCTGCATTTCTGAATAGCCCCATATGTACATGTTATATAATAATAAAAATATATGTAATAGTTATGCTAATATTAAAAACTAATAATGTATGATAACAACATAGAAACGTATACTTTGAAACAATTATACAACTATGAACAACAACAGTATTAAAGCTCGTTGTATTTACAATTGCAACTTAAATTTGGTATAGGACTATTCCACTCCTCACAGAGTATAGTTTCTTTCTTCTTTTGTTCTCGGGTGTTTTAGTTTTGTTTTAAAATACAGCATTAGTAAATTCCAGTTTAACGTAAGTTTTTTGAAACCAACGAAATATTCCAATGCGAGATTTGGTAATGTGTGTGGTACAGTTACCAAAAATAAATACAAATATAAAATTGTTGATGCTTGTTTGTGCACTTTGAAAACGGTATATTTTCTTCAAGATATTTTTAATACTTTTGACACCAAAAAATTCGGTCAATATTGCACTATTTAACTTTTCCCAATTATGTGAATACATGCAAATACAAAATACAAATAAATACAATACTTTGCATAGTATTTAAACATTAAAAAAAATATATAGCCAATCAACTGTGAATTTAGTTAAGCAATAGTTAAATTGTTCTCTTAGTCGTTTAGTACAAGGAAAATTATTCTTTAATTTATAATCGCTTAAATACATAGTGCATATTACCTTGGAGCCAACTGATTTATAATTGATTAGCTGTTCAATTACATATTTTTGTGTAAGAAAACGGAAAAATAAATACTGTACCCATAAATAAGCATGGATCATTAAAGTATTTAAAAATATCAATTATAATTGAAAAATATATGTTTTGTTGATGTTTTTTTGGTCTTTTTGGATCCTTGAAAAAATAATAATTTTAAAAACAATAACATTGGGAGTGGGGCCATGACTAACTGTCCAATGGAAGGAAATTGCTCAACATCTATTACATTTTAGATATCCCTAACCGTTTAAATAGAAAAAAACTCGTGCAATTAGAATTTCGAATAAATGTGTTTTAACATTTGTTATATTTACTTTTCGCTCAATAACTCCTAATCCATGAATAAATACAAATCAAATGCATTTAAAAATTCTTTGCTGCCTGCAGCAGCTTTTCTTCTTCAAGCTTCTCCTCCGCCAACTGTTCCAAGCGTCTCATTTTCATCTCTAAACGCCAATTCTGCATCTGTTCCTTATATGTGATATACATAGCTATCACCGCTTGCCCGGCAATTGCCGCTCCTAGCACCGGAAATATGGGTCGCGTCATATTTCGCCATGATCTAAATACCGCGATTGGTTCTTTTGTTATTGACGGCAAACGGTAGGTGAAGTGACGAGTGGCGAACATGAAGGCTGCAAATGGCGCCAATACGGTTGGATAGCAAACACCCACTCCTGCTTGAAAAGCGCCGGCGCGTATTTGTAAGCAAAGCGGACATTGGGTACCTTGATCCAATAAGACATTTCGTTGTATTAGAAATTTGTGTGACAGCACTGAGAACATAGCTGGTATGACTACGATGGGCAAGTAAGTAGATGCCTTGCCATAATTGCCCAGCTTTAACTTGTGACGGTAATGACTGTTTACGTAAATACCCGTAGCCGCAGCCATGGCTCCAAGAAAACCGGGTCCGTACCGTAAGCTCCACACTTCCCAGCGATTCTCCCAGTTCGATATGACCCGCCACTGATAAGCTAGCGCCTGCTCCTCATTGATAACAATGGCATCTTTGGGAATCTCTTCTTTGCGGGCGTGTGAAAGAGCCATTTGGGAGAAATGCAGCGATTACGTATATGGTGCCTACCAATGTGGTTACCAGTGATTATTTATAATCATGCACAGCTGTTTGTAGGGGGTGGCGGGCGGAATTGTTTTTATTCGAGTGAAAAATTAACAGCGATGCCACTTTGGAAATGCAGGCACATTTTATTGTTTCTTTTTTTTATGTTTTAAGTTAATAGGAAATGTTTAAACATTATTATTAAGAGCACAAAACTCGCAATAATTAGGAGCAGAATATTGGTCTTCTTTTTGTTTTTAATTAGCTGATTGATTTATATTTTTGCCAAAATCCACCACTAAATTTACCGACTATTTTCCACATTGAGGAATTTCAGCACTGGGCTTGTCAGCTGTTTGATAACTGTTTCCACTGACAGTTTTTACCGGTTGACAGTTAGCTGTATTGTTTTCTCGCGTGTGATTTGCATTTGCTTGTGATTTTTGTAATTTTTGCACCAAATCGGGGGGAAACAAGTGCATAATTTAAAAAAAGTTGTGTTCAGTGAATAAATAAAAGTGCATAAATAGAAAGAGGTGCTAATAGTGTGTAGCAATCAGTTGGCGTCTAAATTCCAAGGCAAGTTTAGCATTGTACAAATTTAGGTTATATAATTTGTAAGAAAATCGTTGGACGCTGTATTGGAAAAACTCGGCTTTTATTAATAAAACATCTAATTAGCTATATTACAGATATAAAATAATACAAAAAGCTTAAACAATACTTTGGTAAATCCATGGAAAAGAATATGTGCCCGAAATATGCGACTTTCGTGGGGCAACCACCTGGATGCCTTTATCCAGTGTCGGCAGGTGGTGAACGTCCAGCAAATAACTAATATAACATTCATTAGATTTTACATTTTCCTACGCGTGTTTTAAATCAATGTAAGCATTCGAGTGCAACAGGCGCATTTTCCCAAATATTTCACAATTCATTATTAAAGATGTCTTAAAAAAAATGTATGATGTCATAACTCTGTAATGTTGGACCAGTTTTGTTTCGGGTTCTTTGAAACGAAAATAGCATTTTGTAATGCTGAATAAAATTCGGAATTTAATGAAGAGTTCTGGTTGACACAGACGTAGGCACTTATGTACATATTTGTTCCGCCTCCGAACTTTTTTTAGATACTTTTTCAAGGCATCGTTCGAAATGCAATCACAACCGCAGTGTTACCGCTTTTTTGCGAACAGGCCCGCACTCGGTGACCGATGGTAGAAAAAACTTTTTCTAATTTAGATGTTGCCCGGACCAGGATTCGAACCCATGTTGTTGTTGTTGTAGCGACACAACCCAAGTCCCACATATGTGTGCATATCACATTAAAATCAAACAAGAGGTCTATATTTCATTATAATAATATTTATTCGATTTTCCTGAATTTATATAACGGCCTTATCCTGAGTTTCGCCAAAAAAAAAATCACCTAAACATTTTCCATCTGCCCATACTAAATACATAAAAATAAAAAGTGAACGGGTTCGGGGAAAATGTACCTCATGATAAGACTGATTATTTATAGGCTTAAATTCAAACATTTCAAGTGTGCATATTCGCCTGTTACGTATTACACTTAATTTTTAGTACATAAGGTGCAATATATGCGTTAAAATCGCAAAACAAATTTATATGCCTTAAATTTAAATATACCGATTTAGAACAGCATCAAATGCCCACATAAAATGTAATTTTTATTGATGCATTGACGTATGTTTGCACATGTACATACGTTCATTATTTTATTTTTATAGTTTATGTACATATTTGTATATGTACGTAGTAGTATGTACTTAGGTATAATATACACAAAGTATCACAAAATTTAGTTTGTTGGTTTATATCGTAGTAAATGTTTATGTTAACAAAATAAGACATATTAACTATTAAACTCACAAACTTTAAAATTTTAAAACTTGTAACTCATAAAAATCTTCAAAGATCAAGATAATATTGGGCGCTTTCGAAGTATTCAAATGCTTTTCCAGTTCCTCTTTTACTTAGGCTTCTTACCAACGATTGTTTTCATAGAGATTACCGTTTTTATGTTTTAATTCTGGACAACGGTTATTATTTCCAGTTTTTATGGGTCGAATACGGATGGCAACGGAACTTCAGATGCGTTCCCAGTGGCGAAAATGGTATTACAGATGGCAACTGAGTTGTTATCTGCACTTTAGTGATTGCAGCAGCGATTTGAATTCAGATTTTTTACCTTTTTCAACTGCTTCTGCAGCTAATTTCTTCTGTTACTCCAAAATTCTATAACCTTAACTTTCAATTATAGCTGCTACCAAGGTCTTAGTCGCTATTCGTAATATACCACCTAGGTTGTTATTTTCCAATAATTAGTCCCAAGTATTCCCGTGGATTTAAACGTTCTATTTTTTGAACTTTTTTGTTTGATTTATACAAGTTTTCAATAGCATTTATTGTTTTTTTTTTCAGTTTTGCAGATGTTTTAACACAAACTAATTACCTGCTTATATGGTATTCCATAATCTTTGAAACTAATAGGTACACCTTAGATATTTTTCTCGTGCCTACTGCGTAAATACTTTTAAAGCTTTTATTTGTCTTGTCTTGAAATCGTTCTTCCAAAATCTTGCAACCCTTATAGCAGAAAGACTTCTATTAGGAGAACAAGCATTTTAGGACGATTACATATCTCGGTCGTTAAGCGATTTATCTTTACAGTCATGTTTTCTCAAGTGGGCCACCCAAAGTTGACTTCGATTTTTTATATTTCATTGACCGATTATGAAAGTTAGAATGGTGTGCAATGTTGACACCAAAGATTTTGCGCCAATTTTACTTTTTTGACGAGTTATTTGCAAACAAATTTTTAAGCAGGCTTTTACACTTCTTGAAATATTTCAGCAACCATTCATTCGAATCTTATGATTTTTTGACAGCGTTAGATAACTTTTTGGGCAACAAGATAAAGTGGTCAGTTTGTAAAATTTCGATTTTTGTTTTATAAAAAATTTAGTTTTTAATAAAATACATTTTTCACCAACTTCTCATATACCTAGGAAAATAATTCAAAAAGCATTATTTGCGCTAAATATTCAATTTTACTTTCATTAAAAATTACTGTATCTTTGATTGACTTAAAGCGTTTTACCAAAAAAATGAACTAAGTTTAAAAAAATATAATACAAATGAACTGAAAAGCACAAAATAAAATTTTCAAACTTAAATATCAACGCAAGTATTATCAAATTATATTTTTTTTGCTTTTCAGTTCATTTGTATTATAATTTTTAAAATTTGGTTCATTTTTTTTTTGGTAAGTAAAATTAAATGTTTTGCGCAAAAAATGTTTTTTGAATTCTTTTCCTAGGTATATGAGAAGTTGATACAAAAAATCAGTTTATTAAAAAAATGAAATTTTTTATAAAACAAGAAACGAAATTTTATAACTGACTACTTTATTTTGTTGCCCAATAAGTTCTCTAACTGCTGCCAAAAAATTATAAGATACGAATGATAGGTTGCTGAAATATTTCAAAAAGTTTAAAAGCCTGCATAAAAATTTGCTTGCAAAAATAACTCGTCAAGGAAATAAAATTATCGCAAAATCTTTGGTGTCAATAATGCACACCATGTTAACTTTCAAAATCGGTCAATGAAATATAAAAAATCGAAAAGTCAACTTTGGGTGGGCCAGTTGAGAAAACATGACTCATTAGTTACCCATTTTGCTGGGTGCTGAGCCGAGCTTCTCTAAACGGAACAACCGTTGTTAAAAAACCCCTTTTGGACGTCCATCCGACCAGGAATTTTATCCTAGGTTCTTCCGGGTGTAATACGTTTCTCTAACCACTTGGCCAAATCCAAATCTAAGCGTTTCCACATCTCGCCCTTAATCAGTAGTTCCAAAGTACGCCAAGTAAGTTAAATTTATTTCCATTTTTTTTTTGCAATACACAACCTAAAATTAATTGCTACTCCGATATTTAAGCCCATTTTGCAGGCTGCTGCACTTTTAACATTAATTTTGAGAGAACTTGCTTACCTACCACTTAAAACAATTTTCTTAAAAATTATCAAGCAATCCAAAGCTCAAGTCGAGTTGTTACATATGTATGCATCGTTCTGAACTTTAAGCGTAGCTGTGATCTTCATTCAAATTGAAAGGTGCCTTTTCTTTGACAGAGCAATTTCAGATTTATTTCCATTTAATTTTCATTATGTGTAGTTGGAGATTTGCACTTTTTCTTCACTTTAATGATTTGCCTATTTACATATAATAGCAATTAGTAATACAATCATTATTTACGTTTACAATTTCTCAAATAAATATTACATTCGATTTTTCAAACATGTTCACTTTTACATGGTAAACAATTTTGACTGCAAATATATTCATTGCAAATTTTTAACCTTTTCTCTATGCACAAAATAAATATTCCACAAATATATATGTATGTATGTTTAAAATTAGTGGCTTGTATGCTGTGTACCTAGTTGTAAAGTATTTTAACCCTCTTTTTTTCCACCCCTTCAGTAGTTCATATTCACATATAAATAGTACTCTCCCCGCTTAACGCTAATTAATGCTCCCTTAAATTAACCCACTTCAGGTGGCCACTGCAACTGGCACAAACACACACCCCCTTTTAGTCTAACGAACGTCGTCGCAGCTGACGGCCTTTATTATAGATTGCTGCACGATCTAGGATTTCGTTGGAGAGTCGCGCTAGCAGCGGCAATTCGCGCATCGAAACATTCACTGTTGGCAAGGGCCCCAATTTCTGTTGCAACTTTTTTACAGGTTGCACAGCATGTTCGGGTGTGGCTGGATAACTGACTACACCGGCATCGGCTTTCAGCTGCTGGAGCGACTGTTTGGCGTGTGTGATTTGTACGAGCGGTCCAGCCTTGCCCGCCACCATAATGACGTCAACGTCGTCTTCGTCGATTTCCTCAACAACCGCTACCGGCTTAGCGTGTACAATGTCATACATTTGTGCTGGTGCTTCGGCGCCCAACGAAACGGGGCGTACACCAGCGCCAATCACAGGGCGATCTTGTTGCTGCTGTTGTTGTTGTAGCTGATGTTTTACTTTTAATTGTTTCTGTTGCTTTAGCGCGCATTCATTCATTAGCATTAATTGATCCAGCTTGTCAACAGTAGCGGTCAACTCATGCTCCCACATATCATTGCGCTGTTGCTCACCATCGCCGCCCTCGATGGGACGCACTGCCAGTATTTTAACTTTCTGACGTAGCTCTTCGAGATCACGTTCATCAACAACTCCACGCAATTCGCCGCTATCCGCATAGTCGGCTTCACATTCTTCGGTTTCGGATTCGTCGCCAGCGCTGTGACCGATGGAGGCAGGTTGTGTGCTGACGCTAGCTAAATCGCTGGAACGATGCGAATTGCCACTCAGCGAGATCTGACTGCCCGCAATCGAAGGGTAATCACACTTCTCCAACTCTAGTTGGAAGTCGGGTAACGGCGGTAGAGTGGTCGTTGTAGGCGAATTCAGTTCGGCACCGACACCAGGTTCACGCGGCCCTGGTGGTGGTGCGCCCATTTGCGGAAAATCGCCACGTTGGCGATGAATATCGTCGCTGATGCGTTCCAGGTTGCGTAGCGCTGTAGAATAGGTGTTCTTTGCCGATTGTACTTGCTGTTGCAATTCTTGAATGCGGTTCTTTTGAGTTTGCAGCTGGTCTTGGCAGATTTGCTTCTCCTCAAAGTAAGGGCGCGATTTTGTAATGCTACGACGAAAGCGCTCCTCCAACTGCTGGACCTGGAAGTTGAGTGAAATATTAAATTAGATTTTTTGTGTTTTAGTGTTCTCTAAATAACACGCTAGGCTGGCTTATAGCGTTTGCTTACCTTTTGCTCAGCTGTATTGAAGATTTTAGTGCGACGTTGGTGTTCCGCATGGCATTCGGCCTTTTGTTTTTCCGCGTCCATCACCTTTTGTGTGGCATGATTCAACATTTCCTGCCAAGCATTGTCGAATTGCCACTCATGTGAATTGGACATGAAGCGTTCTTCAGCTAAGGCTACAGTCTCCTTGGCAGCGGTGTGAATTTCTGAGGAAATTATAAAATGAGTAATTTTTTCAAATCTTTAAGTGCTAGAGAAAAGCTTTTTGAAATGAACTTTACACGTTGAAGCATTAAAAAGAAATTTTATATTTCACTCACCATTGGCGCGTTGAAATTTCACAGCTGCCTTCTGGCACTCAATTTGCGCTTCTCGCGCTTTCTCCAACGCTTCATAGTAGGGACGAGCCTTCTCAATACAGCTACCTAATTTTTTTGATGATAATTTCAGGCGTCTTGTAGATTCATTTAACAATATGCGGAAGGTTGAATTTGCTTCCTATAAGGAAATGAAAGTAAAAAAAAATTTAAAATAAATTTAAAAATTGCAAGTACTAATTGAGGAAATTGATTGGTGCATACGCGGTTCAAAAGGTTCATATGTACATATGTACATTCAGTCACTCACAGAAGTATTCGTAATTTAGTTTTTTCACAATATGGAAAATATTTTCCATCATAATCTTTTTCGTTAATTTTTATTTAAAATATAGCTCATTCTATAGCAAAAAACATATAAATCAATTTTGCCAGCTTTGTACAAAATTCCCAATAATTAGTCACAAAATTTTCATCAAAATTTCAAACTTTAGAACATACGCTTTGAGCAATTTTTTTGGTTTTTACCGACGCCAATCATTTTGCCTTCACAGTTTTACAAAAATGTTTATGTGTACCTCTAATTCAATTTCGAGTTTATTAATCTCATCTGTTGCACTATTGAGATTCTCCAATTCGATCTGCAAATAAAAAGGAAAAATAGAATTAGACAATTTCGTTTTAACCGTGGAATATAGGATAGAGGTGCTTTGATATGAAAGTAGGTATTTTTGAATAATCAGAAGATCATGGAAAATATACAAACATACATATGTAATTGGTGAAAGTTATAATTAGTTGTATAGATTTGTAGACGGAAAGTAAGTTCTGTTATAGCCAACTTCAAATAAATAGCCAATACAGAATAAAGCGAGTTTTCTCCATCATGGCAAGATAACGGGGAAATCGAAAGAAAGGAGTTTGCTTTCAAAAGTTGAAAAAAAATTATTATTTTTTCTTATTACATACATATGTACATTAGGGTGGTCATTAAAAAATCAAATTAACGAGTTTTGTCAGTCTCACCCCTTCAATCGGTAACACCACTGTCATAAATATCACATATAAATGTTGGTCCCGATGGACTCAAAAAATTAAAAAATATGTGTTTTCATTTAATGCACATATAAATTTTAGTCCCGATTGAAGTCGGTTAAAACGGCGTCATAGGGTAATCTGAACTTTGACATTTGTGCGACACGCCAAAACCGACTTCAACCGGGACCAAAATTTATACGTGATATCCTCGACAATTATAGCATCGATTTTGGGCATTAGGCGAAAAAAATTGATTTAAATTTTTCGAGTCTCCATAGAGCTGGGAGCTTGAGAAGGCAGCGAAAGCTTCATTCAATTGCACGACTTGTTGGCATGCACACAGTGACATCAATTGCACGCACACTACAACAATTCTCTGCCGAGGCTGCTCACCTCTGCCATAGAGGAATCTGAAGTTTGCCCCCCCCCTGTGCGACACGACTTTATCGCTTCAATCGAGAACAAAATTTATATGTGATATCTACGACTATAGTAGCATCCACGTAGGGGTTAGGAAATCTGATGTAAAAATGTTCTCCCTACATTTATGGACCACCCTAATGTACATATATTGATACTAATATAACTTATATTTTCTTTACAGACGTCATTATTCGCATTAATTGCATTTAAAACAACGGACATATATCGTATTAGAAAATAAATTAAAATCAGCAGCAAAATGCCGAGACCCACACGTACGGTGAAGGAGCAGGCAAAAGTGGATTTATCCAAAATACCGGTGAGTTTATGCCTCACTACTTATTGTACATATTACGAAAAGAGATTTCATGCTCTATTTCTTTTTTTTTAACTTCCAGGCACACGTGGAGCGCGTTAACGTCAGCGGTTTGTTGCGCACACACAATGACTATGTGTTGAAGGCAGCCGAAGGGCTCTTCAAAGCGCGTAATTTTCAAGATGTTATGATTGAATCGATGAAGTAAGTAGCTAATAAAGACATACAAGTCGCTTCTTTTTTTGTCTAATCTTCTAAAATATTTTTATTACCAACAGCGCCAAAACGTACCTACATGAATTGGGCATTTTCAAGGATGTGCTAGTACGCATCGATGTTAGCAAAGGTGAGAATGCCTCACCCAATGGCTATGAGGTCACATTAAAGGGTCAAGAGCTTTCGCGTCTTGTCGGCTCTGTCGGCACTGAGGTTGGCCAAAATGAGGGCTCACTACGCACCGAATTAAGTATACCAAATTTATTTGGACGCGGTGAAAGCATCTCATTGCATGGTTCCTACGCAACAACACGCGCCAATGAATTACAGCTAAAATTCTGGAAGTCATTCTTTCACACGCGTTTCGTCGAAAATCGACCAGAGTGAGTAATGCATGGCAACATACATACAATAACCGGTTCAATAATTTTTCAAACTTGATTATCTTATCTTTGCACAGAGTCTCCTTCTCGCTCTTTCGCCACGTCGATCGCATGGACATCAGCTCATTCCAAAATGCTAATTTGGGTTTCGTTGCTGACTTCTCAGTGAATTCACTGCTGCCATTTGAGGTAATAATTTAGCAATATATTTTTTTGTTTAATATTATGGTTATTTAAGCATTTTTTTTCTTCTCCCCCAACAGCTCACCCACTCCATACAGTATGAAGCCTCTATACGCGAACTTTCGCTGCTGGCAAAGACCGTGCCTTTTGTCATACGCGAGCATTGCGGTCCAAAACTGGCATCATTAGTGCGTTATTCAGTAATCTATGATCAACGTGATAATCCTGTTTTTCCAACACAAGGCATCATGTTGAAATCAGTCAATGAGTATTGTGGTTTGGGTGGCAATGTAGCTTATATGAGTACAACAACGCATGGTGAGATCAGCGTACCCTTGTTTGCCGGACTTGTAGCGCAGATTTGTGGCCGAGTTGGTGTGATCAAAGAGACTAAAAATACGACAGTGCTGCCTATTAGTAGCTTATTCTACTGCGGTGGACCGCTGACACTGCGAGGATTCAAATTTGGTGGCGCTGGACCTGTGGTGGATGGCACATCGATTGGTGCGCAAGTAAGTTGATACACATTTATTTACATACATATGCTTACCGTTTCTAATAACTTTTCCTTACAATTTTTCAGACTCACTGGTCCACAGGCTTTCACTTATGGGGACCACTGCCATTCAATCATGTTTTCAAGGGATTGGCTAAGAACTTCCGCGCGCATTTGTTCTACAACTGCGGTGGCTTCAACACGCTTTCGGCAGGTAAGTGAACGTTTATATATTTCGAAGCTAGTTTAGTCGAGTTTTAAGCATTCCAATAAAATGTTGCCGAATGCTTAAAACTCAGCGAATTCGAAAGTAGCTTAAATTTGGTATGTTTACAGTTTTAGTTGAAAATGAGAACGCAAAATATTTTTAAATGCAATAGTATGATTGAGATGGCTATACAATTAAAAACATATGTAAATATAAAGCTCTAAGTTCGTATAAACTATTAGAATGCAACATTTAAATTTCAATGTTAAAAAAGTAAAAGGAAAAATTTCTGCTTACAAATTTTCTTAAAGAATATTAATCAATACAATGTTATTCCACTTTCACTTTCAAAGGTTTTGGCTTTGAAATTTGAATGGAAGGAAATTACATACAAACATATGTATGTAAAATGAGTCCACTGCAGATAATACTTTGTGCGATTTTAAATGTCTAGCATAAGCTCTCCTATCGCGCCGATCATACTAATGAATGAATTTCAAAAATATTTTGCGTTCTCAGTTTCAACTAAAGCTATAAATGTGCCAAATTTGAGAAAAATTTTGAGGGGGGGTGCGTTTCTTCGTTTTTTTAGATGTACACTGCATAACACAGACTAACCTTCCCCCCCCCCTAGAAAAGTTAGCACTTGAAATAACACATTTTTACCAATGCTTCCAAATCAGCTAGAGGCATTTCCCATTTTTGTAAAAAATTGATTTGAGCTGGAATTTCATTAATACACTATTGCTGTCGCTTCAATTGTTCTTGATTACGGCTTTTGTTCATATAAAATGCACAATTTTCAAGGATAAAATGGGTTACTTTGTATTCAAATTGTGACTGAAGAAAACCCTTTAGAAAGCGAGAGATATTGAAATTAAAAGGTGTATGAAGCAAAGTATATTTATTTCTAAGAATTTCAATTAAAATGCAACACATTCTCTGACAAAACCCATATAAACCCTAGTTTAAGACTTTGTTGTAAATTAAAAAAATAACAAATATTCATCCAAATTTCAAAATTTTTTCTCGGAAGTTTTCGAATTTTCGAGTATACAGTTTTATAGCCAATGTAATTTTAATAATGTGTAAGTTTCAAGTGGCTAAAAATTACCGTTAAATTTATAGAATTTTTTCTCCGAAGATGACGCGGTTTTCTTCCATATAAAAATTAAATGTGTTTATTCGCTATATCCCTGCAGTGAAAAATTATCAGTCGTTAAAAATAACCGATTTATACTTAGCTTTTCATTGGGATTTCGACAAATACCTCACTTTTAATTAGGTATGAGTTGTAAAGTCACGCAGGAGTCATGCAGACGCAATCGGGAGCTTGTTTTCTTTACAATTTTTTATTTAAAAATCCTCATACAAAAACTGCTTTGATTATATTTGATTTTTGCACTTCACAAATTCTTGTTCGACAAATAAAATGAAGTTCCAAATTTTACATTATCATTTTTTATGTTATGTCTGACGGAATTCCTATATAGTACTACCTGCTGCAGAATATGTAAACTAATATGCAACGTTGAATATAAATTAAATAAGTGAAAATTAAAAAAAAATAAAATTAATAGAATGTTTTTTTTTTTATTGATATTTTATGGCCAAAAGTATTTAATTACAAATAAGTTGACATGTAATGCAGAGGTATCCATGTCTGACTTTTTTGCGGTCATCGCCCCACAAAAGTAGTTAGCTTTTTTCGAACAAAATGTACAGTTAATAGTTAGTACTAGTGTAAACAGACTAAAGTTGGATTGGGTCACGCCCTGCAGGTATGGAAGTAAAATCGACAAAAAAAATCTAAAAATTCAACGCCAATTTTTAGCCACTTGAAACTTTCATATTTTTACACTAAAATTGAATGGGCAATTAATTAAACTGTATACTCAAACAAACGCCAATTTTTAGCCACTTGAAACTTGCATATTTTTACACTAAAATTGAATGGACAATTAAACTGTATACTCAAACAAAATTCTAACACTTCAGAAAAAAAAATTGGAAAGTTGGATAAAAATTTGTTGAATTTTGTTTAGCTTGTTTTAAACTTGGGTTTTTATATAAGTTTTGTTAGAGAATGAACTGCATTCTAAATGAAAATTTTTAAAAATAAATAAATAAAAGTGGCAAACCGATACCGTATTTGTTATCTTTTTTTCGCTTTGTCAGTTTTCTTTTTGTTTAAAACACATTTCAATTCAAATTTGCATTTTGAGGCTTTTTCATAGTTTTAAGCGTAAAAAAATCATTTTATCCTTAAAAATTATGCAAAACTGCTCAAAACTGAATCAAGAACATGCTCACGGACAAAACAAAATTTTACAAAAATGGGTTATCTCTTTTTTGCTGGCCAGGAAGCATTGCTAAAAATCTGTTATTTAAAATGCTAAGGAATTTGGCAGGGGCACACTGCTCGATTTTAAAAATCACACACGAGAGTCGCGCGAGTACGCTCCCCCGTTCAGTGTAGCTGAATCCAATAGTGCAAGAGTGTTTTCTATTCTTAAGTTTACTCGTGTTTTTGTGGCATTTGAGATTTAAATAAAGTTAAAATTGAATTTTGGAAAACAGGTAACCATAAGCTTTACTATAAACTCATGCGTCCACCAAATTTCTTGCAATAATATGCTGATGATTTTCGAAAAAAATATGAAAAATTTAATATGTACCTGCGAAACTCACATTATAAAACCATAAATAACTATTTCCAATTTAAATCTCAAATGTTTCAAAAACAAGAGTTGACCAAGAAATAGAAAACTCACATGCACCATTCAGCTAGATTTGTGGTAAATTTAAAATAATTAGAAATTGTATTTTTGATAATTTTGCAAATTAATAAAAAAGTTAAATGTCGAAAAATAAAAAAAGGAGTTTTAATTTGTAATCTTGGGTAATGAGGGTTTGGAAAAAAACTACTACTACTATTAAAATAAGTTCAATAAAATAGAAGTCTTTAAATAATGAATATGCAATGATCTAAAAATTAAAATCCGCAAAATAAAAATTTTACACCTGAAAATGTCAGGTATTCTTTGCCTCTTCAAAATTTCACTTTTCAAAAATACTTTTGAACACTATTTTGATAACTTTTATAGTAATAAAAAAATATAATCAAGTCTGAACATTACGTTTTTTTTTTTCGAAAACATAATATTCAAACACAATTTTAAATTTGAGTTGTCAATTTCTAAATGCGAATATTAAAATGTGAGAATTAAAAAAAAAATATATATCTACATCTACAGCCAAAATAAGAAAAACACGACTTTGTGCAGAAATTAGAACGAAATAAACAATTTCATAAAAATCCCCAACTTTTTAATCAGAATTTGTCGAATATTTTCTTCCATACTATTTCCAACATTTTGTTTTTTTTTCGTGGGGAAAGTGTGCACACCCGCAGCAAAAAAAAATATATATATATATTAAAAATCAACGCGATTATTAAGCAACTTAAAACTTGCATTTTGATTAAATGGGCTATAAAACTGCATACTTCTTTTCTAACAATTCTGATTAAAAAGTTTGAAATTTTGTTGAGACTTTCTTGGCTTTTCCTAATTTTTGCACAAAATTTTAAATTTGGTTTTAAATGGCTTTTTTAGATAAAAAGCTTCAAATAAATAAAAGAAATGTAATAAAAATTGGTCAAAGCGTCGTGTTTTTATTATTTTAGCCATATATGCCTCGCAGCTTATAGGACACCAAAACTGAAAAAATTTAAAGACATTTTTTTTCTCAATTACATTTTCTTTTTTTTTTCTTTTTCAGACAACATGCGCAGCGCTCTCGGCGTTGGTCTGGCATTTAAATTAGCTGAACGTGCGCGTATCGAATTGAATTATTGCATACCTGTACGAAAATATGCCACCGACAAGCCAGTGAATGGTTTTCAATTTGGCATTGGCTATGAATTTGTCTAGGTTGGTTTCTTGTTGCACATATGCGCTCATAGAGCTGGAGAGCATGCGCCTAGTAGCAGAGGAAAAGGCGGTGGAAGGTAGCAATGTAATAACACTACTACGACCACCATACAGCTCCTTTTTTATCGTTAAAAATCATTTATTCATTCACTGACTGTCATCTGTTTGTCGTTTGACTTTTTGTTGTTCGCTAATCAAAGACATTAATTGTTTAATATTTGTTATTATTGTAAAGATTTAAGTTAAATATCAAATAAGCCAGACAAGTCACATCATGGAGACATAAATGCGTATGTACATACATATGTTTGCATGAAACAGCAAGCATGAAAAAAGGCAAATATGAAAAAGGCTACCAGCGAAAAACGTAGAATACGTGTACAATTATTTAAAGGAATACAAATAAATTTAAATTATACGAAAAAACCCCAAATAAAAATTTATTTAAAAACGAAATGCGTGGTTTGTTAAAATGTGTGTATAATTAATTCATGTTACAACCCTGCAAAATTGTTTTTAAAATTAATTACTTTAATTTGAATAATTATTTAAAAGCTGTAATTATGCAACAGACAATTGTAAATTTCAGATTATAAAATATAGACATTTGTGGCACTAACAGAGCACACAAAAGCATTCTTCCATCAATTAGTAAACCTCCCCCACCCCATCACAAGTAAGATATGTATGTGTGAAAATTTTACCCCACTATTATGAATTCCCATACGATAGACAATGAACACTTGCAAGCGGGTCATATGAAATGAGTTTTCGTATTATCGTTTCCATACGCCCGTCAAATGCTCTATCCTCTTCTAGAGAAACTACCTGTGAAGTTATGTGTATACAAAAATTAAACGATTAACTAAACGATCTTAATCAAAACGAATGAACTGAAAACGAGCTTGCACCCAGCGACGTGCTTACAATTCAATTAATTTAAAACATCATACAAAAGATTTATTTTATTACGAACAATAGAGAGGAACTCTGGCTGATCAAGCGTTATGCACTTCCACTAAGCACTTCACACGCGGATGATGCTCGCACTGCTACGGAAAGTGGGTCAGTGCTATTAAAAAAAAAAAAAAAACTATTTAAAACAATTTAACAGCTATTTCATGTACATAAAGTAATCTTCGCCAAAGAACATTCATTTGCAGCTTCAGTAAAGCAACGTTTAATTTGTTAACTTAGTGGGGGACACAATCGAATGAAACTGAGTTTTTTTAGACTATGTTAAGTGGCGTAGTTTCTCGAATAAACAATTTACACAATGAGAATTTTTGTTTTGATTTAGTTCTTTTCTTTTTTTTTAATTTCTAATGGAAATTTTTTTTCTAACATTGCATTTGTGAAGCGCTCAGAGCTGAGAAAAGTGATGATACATTATAGAACTGTTGAACAAATGTTTGATCATGTGTTATATGGAATAAAATGCGCAACACCCTCCATAAAAAAAATTCTAAAAAATCGACGGTAATTTTTAACGGCGTTAAAATTGCACTTTCTTATACTAAAATTGAATGGGCTACAAAACGGCATACCCGAAAAATTTCCAAATATTCTAATTAAAGATTTTGCAATTTTGATGACAATTTTTTGAAGTTTGATTAACTTTTTTGCAACTTGTGCAAGCTTTTAAACTTTTATTATTGTGGTTTCTGTTATAGAGTGAATTATATTTTAAATGAAAATTATTAAAAATAAATAAATGGACATAATATGCAAACAATATCATTTTGAATTTCGTTGCTAATTAGTTGATCGCATATGTACATATGTGCTCCTCGATTCGAATCACAAGCGTTCAGATTTAAAAATGAAAACTGGTCCATAGGCATGTCGTTCTCATGAGCTGTTAAGGCGTCAAAAATACCGAATACGGGACATATAAGGGACATTAAAAGAAATACAGAATATTTGGCGTTCCATATGAAATAAATAAATTACCAGGACAACTGGCGAAAAAAGAGGACTGTCCCATATAATGCAGGACGGATAGTCACCTTATGTATGGTATCAAATTGCTTAATACATAGTAATTTTTTAGTTCAATACTTTATATTATTTTACAACTTTCCTCCACCAATTTAAACAATCTGAAAAAGTGGGCACGCCAAAGATTTTTGCTATGAATACTTCGCTTTAGTTTTTAATCGTTTGAAATAAAAATTAAAAAACCTTAAGTGAATGTATTTTCAAAATGTGCCAAGATCACCTTGCGAAAAAATTTGGTTGCCTTCATTTCTCGTTTCAAATGAAAAAAAAAAACAATCAGTTAAGCGAAGCGTTCACAAGTTTACTATTATTTTTGCGGTTTTACTTTGTGCTTCTAATTAAAAATATTAAATTTTAAAAGCTTTCTTGGGAAAAAACTTCCATTTACTAAAAAAAAATTCCAACAATTTGAAAAGAAAAAATCCTCAGAATCAAGCCCAAAAATACTTTGCAGATTTATTTACAACAAAGTAGTTATTTCGTGAAAATACCAAAGTATTTTTATGTATTAGATAATTTTAGTATCAAACATTAGGACTTCCGGTTTCGAGCTATATCGTTGCTTTTCCAGCTTATTATTGTTTATGCTTTTTATGTGCATATGCACATATGTTTGTATGTATGTATACTGTACTCAACTTTGATTTTTCATTATTTTATTTATTAATAACGCTACTGCCTATACGTACTTATCGTTTTTGCGGCTTTAAAAATATGCATTACATATACTATATCCCCATAGCTTTTATTTACATCACTTATTTTGTATTTATCACTCGCAGATTAGTTTAAAATATTGTAAATAATAGTTTTTAAGTTAAACTATTCTTTGCTTCTAGTAGCATTAAAGTTAAACTGGCCTAAAACGTAAAATTCCTACAGTTAATATAGATGTACATACTTGTGTATTTTTTCCTCTACATTAAAATTATATAATAAACGAAAGAAAAGAAAAAAAATATTGTATTCCTCTGAGAGTGGGGTCGAAAAGCGCTCCATTTACGCAATGAGCCCGCGGCTGGGTAACAAAGGGGAAATTAATTATAATATTTTTCTATAGCCTCGTCTGTGTAGGAAAACCGCATTTAAAACAGCAACTTCCCCTGTTGGCTGGCATTGGGCAAACATAAAATTCTATAAATACAACAAAATTTCCAAGCGTAAAAACTGCTGCGCCGCGATTCGAACTCGCGACCACTTGGTAAAGCGAGTATGTACAACAAAATCGTCACATATCTAAACCACTTTGGCTACGGAAGCCATCGTCCTACGTTGTGTCAAATGGCTCAATTGACTGCCAAGCAGTGGTGATGTTCTTCGTTAATTCACAACGGTGTGAGCGAAAAAGAAATATGTACATGCGAAGATGTTAGGTAGCACAGGGTGACCACAGATTTTATTTATTATTATTTTAGTTTTCACAAAATATCCCAGTGAAAATGGGAATGCATTACAACGCTGTCTTTTCGTGCATAGGTTATAGGGGCTATCCACTACTTTATGCATTCCCAAATATTCCCTTTTCGCACTGGGACTTTAGGTAAAAAATTATTTATATGTATGTACATACATATGTAGTGCGCGTGATTCAGTTAGTGAATGTATTCTATTATATTCTCATAGCTTTATTTACATCACAGTAATATGAACTTGTGTATTCGTTTCCTCTTGATTAAAATTGTATAATAAACGAAACAAAAGAAAAAAATATTGTATCCCTGGGGTTAGTGGGGTCGAAAGCTTTGTATTTACGCAGTGATCCCGTGGAGTGAAAAGGGAATATTATTTCCTATAGCCCCGTCGTGTACTGGAAAAACGCATTTAAAACAGCAACTTTCCGTTTGGTACAGCAATGGGGCACCACACAAAATTCTATAAATACAACAAAATTTCCAAGCGTAAAACCGCTTGCGTCGCGATTTGAACTCGCGACCACTTAGTAAAAGGCACACCTCAACCACATCGGCTACAGAAGCGATTGCCATACGTTGTCAAATGTCTCAATTGACCGCTAAGCAGTGGTGATGTTCTTCGCTAATTCAAAACAGTGTGAGCGAAAAAGAATTATGTACACACAGCACAGGGTGACCAGATAATTAATTATTTATAATAAGATATGTATGTAAAAAAATGTGAATGTGATATCTACCGTAAATGTTTTTCACAAAAGTTTAAATACATATTTTAAATAAAAAATTATTTATATGTATGTCCATAAGCAGATTGTGTGAATCGAAAATTATGGATAGATGAGAGGAGGTTATTAACATTTATGATGTTTGACAAAACCATAAAAGAATTGGAGGTTTATGTTTAACAGTTTTCGTCAAAATGTGCCTTTTTAAATATTCACAATGATTTTCAAGTAAAAATGTAATATAATTTTTTATAAAATATTTTTCATGCTATAACCATAACCGTATGAATCAGCCAAAGTTTCAAACTTTATAGACAGTTTAGGAAAATTCAACATATTTTCATCGAAAATTCAACCTTTTTAATCTACATTTTTGCACTTTTTAACCGACTTCAAAAACAGCAGAAGATTATCAATGTATGTTTTTTTAATGTATGTATGTATGTTACCGCATAACTTTGGACGACGTTCACCGACTGTGTATTTCGATTTTTAAAAGAAAGTTGGTACCTCAGAGGTGGTCCCATACTAATTTGGTTTAGATCAGATTATTGGATCATGAAGAAAATAACGGTACTCTTAAATTTTTATAGGAGAGTTGAACTCGGTTTTGTTTTTTGCTTAAAATTACTTGTTTCCATATAAATACGAATCCCTTCTGGAAGAAATGCGTAATACCGTTTGCAAATAAAATTCAAAAAATAACGCCAGTTTTTATAAGACCGCAAAAGACCGACGCCAAAAAAAAAATATTAAAAATCACCGCGAATTCTTAGGTACTTCAAATATGCACTTTGTAATCCTAAAATTTCATTGGCTATAAAACTTCGTGTCCAAAAAATATATACAAATTCAGATTAAAAACTTTAAATTTTTATGAACACTTTTAGTAAATTTTTTATAAAGTATGAAACCTTGATTAATACGGTTATGGTTATAGCAAAAACAAAATGGGTATTCATGGAAACGCGTAAATGCTTCGTAGCCACGCAAACTTCTTAAATAAACCGATTTTCCATACAAAATTAAGCAAGTTTAGATAAATTGCCCTAAATTGCCTATTTAAAATTGTAACATGCCGATGTCTGTACCTTATAGATATTAAACAAAAATTCATTTGGGGGGCCTTTATTAGAGCAACAGAAGATAAATCAACAATTTTTAGAATTTTTGTCTATCTTTCTATCTTTCTGTCTGTCTGTATGTTTGTAAAAATAATGCATGGAATTGAATGCAGTTTCCGCCTTGTATTGCTAGAGGTCTAACTTAAAATATAGATAGAAAAAAAATTGGAGAGTTGCCCCCTGTTTGAAAATTGCAGCTTAGGTAAATTGGCAAGATAAAGAAAATATTGCAATATGGCTGTCAAAAGAAAGACGGTTAACAAGGCTCACAGCCAAAACTATTTTTGTTGCAGGTTGCCACCTGTTTTATAATATTAATTTAATGTAATTGATAAGCTAAATTGCATATGCAATATGGGTATCCAACTAAAGAGGTTTAGAAAAGTTTACTGCCGGAAATGTGTTTGAGGAGGGTTGCTACCTGTTTAAAAAATTTAATTCAATTAAATTGATAAAATAAATGAAATGTTACAATACGAGTAATACTTTTAAGTTGCAGTGAAGCACGCCGGTTATTTGTATAGTATTTATGTATATAAATATTAACAAAAAAATGTTGGCTTAAAAACTATTGTTAATATTAAAAAATCTTCACTCACTCAGTTTTGGGCGCCAGAGTACGTATGTATGTATGTTCAATGTACATATGTATACATAATATGTTGGACGATTTTTCTTGATTAAAGCAAATCAAAAAATATGTATGTATGTACATACATATGTAGTGGGCCGAAAATCCGCGTTTTTAGAATTTTGATTGGGAATAGCAAAAATATGGTTAATTATACTTTAAAAAAATTTGGAATTTGTTGGCCAATGTCCTAGGCTCGCCCAAGTCCATCAAAGTTCAATATGCTCAAAAAATAAAAATTAATAAATTAATTAATTAATACATTTTTTTACTAAAATTGCAATAATCTTCTTAGTCCTACATAATTTGGTATATGGACCTTTTTTTATAGAGAACTGACGTTAGCTAAGAAAAAAAAATTGTAGTACTAGAACTTTTTTGGACTTGGGC